CATATCATAAGAGTTGGTGCATGATATGGAACTATCCATTGATCTTCAGGAGTTATACAGCAGTATGTATATCTGTAGTTAAATAGGTCGTAATAAGTATGTTCTGAAAATGGGTGGGGAAATCCTTTTTTTTTTTTTTTTTTTTTTTTTTTGAAAACGCAGCTAAGCGTACTTTATTTATATTTTATAACGGGCTAGTTTACATATTTACATGTCAAGAGTATTTACATATTGAGATTAATATATTTAAGAATGTTGTTGGTTTTTCCGGATTTGGAAAGAGCTTTTTTGTTGAATAGTTTGTATAAGAGATTAATTTCATGCTTGATTTTTATCGATATAATCCTTGCTATTGCTTCTTGAGGGATCACGTTATCACCCCATCTGGCTTGGGTGTACCAGCACCAGATTTCGTAGATGGCTGTGATGTGCAGCCAGATAGCTGTTTTCCTCTTTTTTGTATCTGTGATATTGGTTGCTTGGATAATATCTTCTAAAGTTCTAGGAGTGGTGTCCTGCTCTATATTGGTTAATGCTTTGTATATTGTTTCCCAAATGACTTTGCTTAGCGGGCACTTGAGAGCGAAGTGTTCTATTGTTTGAGTAATGTAAGGACAATTAGGGCAGTCTCCTAAATTGGTTTGGTCGATATGGATAAGTCTATATCCAAGAGGGAGGGCTCTATGTGTTAATCTCCAGAATATGTCCTTTTTTTTGTTCAGTAACCCCTTTGTTTTCAACCATTTGAATGGTGAGTGATGCTTCTCTGAAGAATTTGTAGTAGTTGAGCTTGATGGGGTGTGAAAACTTTTTAAAGCTCCTTTAACTGTGAATAGATTACCATCAATATTGTTTATTTTGATTTGTTCTGGTAGCCAAGGCCATGTATGGTTGGTGAGTATTTTCCCTTTAAATCTTCCCCATGCTGTGATGTAAGGCTTCCAGCTGTCTGGCCAGCCTTTCGTTTTGCAGGGGGTTTGAGACAGAGCTATAGCAGCTGAGATTTTTCTCTTGTTATATAGTTTTGCGTTTATGGTTTCTCTTTCTGTAGTAGCCCAGAATGTGTTGCTTGTAAGAAGTTTGATCAGTATAGTGAGGAGCCTGGCGTCAAGCATATCTTTGAGAACAGGGGCTGATAATCCTCCTTGTTCGTAGCTGAGTTGGAATATTGAGTATTGTGGGAGCATTCTTGAATTGCTTTTGATCCAGCCTTTGATAAGGGAGTCAATTTCATTAAGCTGTTTTCTGGTTGGGGGAAGAAGATAGGCTGAGTACCAGATCTTTGAAATCAGCAGCATTTTAGTTGCCAGAATCTTTCCTTTGAAAGAGAGATTTCTTTGAGACAGATCTTGGATCTTGTTTTTAATTTTTTTGATTGTGTTGCTCCAGAGGTTCCTATCGGCCTGACCTTTATAGTCAACTGTGAAACCTAAGATTGTAATATTGTTTTGGCTGTTTGTTTGTAAGTTGAACCTGGATTGGTCCGTTAGTTCTACTCTATTGGCATTCGCTGTAAGAGGGATAAGTGTGGATTTGGATTTGTTAACTTGAGCATTAGAGGCTTGCTCATATAGAAGTAGAGTTTCTTGTAGTTTGTTCCAATCTGAGACTTGACCGATACCAATTGAGAGATCATCTGCGTATGCTGCAACTCTGAAAGAGGAGCCATTGACTGGAATGCCTTTGATGTTTTGGTCGATTGCTTGAATTAGTGGATTGATGGCTATTACGTATAGGAGTGGAGAGAGGGGGTCCCCTTGCCTTACTCCTCTTTCTACTCTAAAGGCTTCTGAGATAAAGCCTGAGTCGACTATGTGTGCCTTTTGAGTAGCTAATAAAGAGCTAACAATGCTGGTAAATTTGTTGCTAAAATTCATTCGTTCTAGAACAAGCTTCAAGAACTCATGATTTACTCTGTCAAAGGCTTTTTGTTGATCCAATTGAAGAAGCCAGTGTTGTGCCGATTGGTCATCTTGGTTTCTTAGAACAGTAATAATGTCTAGAGCAGTATCAATGATAGATCTATTGGCTATGAATGCTTGTTGTGCAGGGCCAATAATCTCATCACAGATAGGGTTAATTCTGTTTGCTAGAATTTTCATAAATATTTTTGTATCTGAATTAACTAGGGAGATAGGTCTCCAGTTATTCAGATTGGAGAGATCATCAGCTTTTTTGGGGATAAGCGTGATGAGACTTTTGCTCCAGGAGCTTGGAGTGATTCCAGTAGCCATTACATTGTTAAAAACCTTGGCTAGAATTTGGAAAGAAAACTCGCTAGTGTCCTTGTAGAATTCATATGTCAAGCCATCTGAACCCGGAGCCTTGTTGTTAGGCAGGCTGTTGATGACTTGTTTGATCTCATCCTCCGTAATGGGCTTGGTTAAACAATAATTCTGTTCCGGAGAGATCTGTTTCAAATTGTTTGTAATTTGAAGTGCTGCTTCCTTCTTTATGTTCTCGCTTTTGTAGAGGTCTTGATAAGAGTTTTTTATATAGTTTATAGTTTGCTCCTGTGTAGGTTCATCTGTAGCATTTGGGTTTTTGATTTTGGTACTGCAGCTTGCTGAGTACCTGGATTTATATAAGGCAAAGAAGTACTTGGTCGACTTTTCACCTTCTTCAATCCATTTTGCCTTTGAGCGCAATCGCCATTTGTCAGATAGTTGTTGTAGTTCTTCTTGCAGTTTGAGGTTTATTTCCTCTGTTATTAGCTTGAGTTCTTCTAGCTCAGGGTTTCTTGCTATTTTGCTGTTTAAATTACTAAGTCTCTTTTGTAGCTTTTGTATATTGCTTTCTGGAGGTGGAGGAGGCTTGATTGCTCTGGTAAGAGATTGGATTCTGCACTTGCATAGATCCCATTCTTGAGGGTCCTGAAATTCTTGAAGTTCTTTAAAGATATCATCTTTGAGTATGGGGTTACTCCAGTATTTTCTTTCGAATTTCCAGGATGCTTTGCGGTACTGTTTGGGCTTTAAGCTAAAAGTACTTTCTACTAGGAGGTGGTCAGAGTTTCCAAACCGAGTAAGTGTGTTAGTACAGAGGTGACTGTAGCTAGCTTCAATGAAGATGTAATCTAGTCTGGTTGCCATCTTTCGATTACCAGAGGTTGTTTGGAAGAAGGTGAGGAATGGGTCTTCATTAGAGAATAGAGATGTGTCTGTGTAATCAGCTACTAGGTTATTTAGCTGATCTTTAGAACGATCATTCTGAGCAGAAGCTAGGCTGATCCTGTCTTTTTCTGGCTTTAAATTTGTATTAAAGTCCCCTGCAATGATGCAGATGCAGTTCCCATCTGAGTTCGGAGTCCAACTGTTAAAGAAATTAATTCTTTCTTCCATGTTGGGTGGTGCATAAACGTTTGTGATGAAGAAAGGTTGTTGCTTAATTGTGGTTTTGGCGATTGCTACTCGGTCATTATGAGTGATCTTGGTATCGGTAAGCTTGATATTTCTTTTTCCTGCGAGGATTGCTACTTTGGAGGACCAAAGTGAATCAAAGCCCCATTGTTGAGAGAGGAATCTTCTTGTATTTGCATCTTTTAGATTTGTTTCTTGAATCATTATTATGTCTAACTTGTATGATTTTAAAAGTGTAAGTGTTTTTTGTGCTTTGGATCTGCTGTTCAGACCCTTAACATTAAGTGTAGCGATCTTGATCATTAAAATTATTAGAAAGAAGTAGTAGAGCTACACTAAAGATGAGAATCTTTAGTTTTGAATTTTGTGTAAGAGGCGGCTTTGAGAGCTGCCTGCTTTTCCATATGGACTGTCTGGTCGTATATAAGATTTTTTCTTTCCTTTTACTTTTTGTTTTTTGGATACAACTGTGATAAAAGGAGTATTATCCTCAGTTGTGTTGGTGAAATTGGGAACTGTAGAGTCTTTCTGGGATTCAATTTCCATGTGAGATGTGGAATTTGTGGCCTCTGTGGCCTCATCAGAGGACATTGATACTGCTTCTGTTTCCACTGTTGAGCTGGAAGTGTTAGCGTGGCTGCTAGGTTCTGCTTCCATTGCAGTTTCTGGTAGTAGCTCTGATGTAGATTCTTCAGCTAAGGTTGTCTCTGTATCATCATTTGTGATTTCTTGGTCAATATATGGGTTGTTTTGGCTGAAGTTAATTTCTGGGGACCCAGAATTCTTGGTTTTTGCTTTTTCTCGGTATTCTTTGGCTTCTCTCAAGAGTCTTCTTGTCTCAATCGAAGCTTTGAGCTCTTCACAATCTCTTTTAATGTGACCCTCCTTGTCACAGTAGAAGCAGACTTTTGGTGCTTCTTTCCATTCTGTAAAAATTCTATGGTTTCCAATGTGCGTACTTCTTGGTATGCGTGAAACCAGGTCTGGGTCTTCTGTGGTTTCAAAGGTGACTAGCCATTGGTCAGTGCAGATTGAGGTGCCTTCAAAAAGGAGAGGTTTGATCGAGGCTATTTGTCCAATATCCTGAAATGCAAGCAGGATGCTGTTACTGATATTGGTGATGTTGCCCATAGGAGTATTTTTGAGCTTAATAGTGAGAAAAGAGCGGTTAAGGTTGATCGGAATATATCCAAAGAAGGTCTGTTTGAATAAAGAGATTCCTTCAGCTGCATAGTATTTAACTTTTTCTTTGTTCTTCAGGACGATTTCCAGAGTGGTTCTTTTTCCTCTAGACATATGTGTTTTTGCTGCAATTAAGTCCTCACCTAAGGATACAGCAAGTGATGCAATTATGTCGTTAGTAGCAATATTGCTTAGATTTTGTATATCCAGAATGAGAGCGTTTTCGTTTTTAGAGTGAATCTGTTGTCTAGGAGTAGATTTTGTATAAGCTGCTTTTCCTCCTCGAAGTTTGGCGAAGAGATTGGACCACTGTTTAGGTTTTGGTTCTGGATCGGGAGTTCTTTTGTTAGGGCCCTGTTCAGGGGTACCTGTGTCTCCATGAGTCGGATCCACTAATTGGTCCTTGTTAGACACGTGTAGTTTGTTTTGTTTATTATTTTCGTTTAGCACGTGATTTGTTGTGTTTACATCTGCCTCGTGGTTTGTTGTGTTTACGTTTTTAGTACGTGTTTCTTTGTTTCTTGGTGATTCTTCTGTTGGTGCTTTTGTTGCTTCTTTAGCTTGTTCTTTTTCAACTTGATTAGCCCAACTTGTGTCAAGCATATTGGGGTTCATATCTAGTGGTGTGCTTGTATCTGTTTTGAGGTTGCCACTGTTGACGTTGTTGTTGTTATCTTGTTCTGCAGTGTCTTTCTTGTTTTCTTCAACTTTTGCAAAGTTGAAAATTTTGTCGTTGTTCGAGGAAAGCCTGGCCTTCTTGTTGTTTGGTTGCTTACCCATATCTAGAGTAATATGTTCGTGTTTCCTGGACCCCAAGGTCCTTGTCTCGTTAGGAAAGTCGAAGATAAAAAAAGAGTTTCTTAGTAAAATTTTGATTTTAGTTGTGTTTCCGGAAGTGAACCCCTCTTATATATTTTAGCCTTCGAACCCTTGCTAATAACAATAGAGGACAAAATTCGAGGAATCCCAATACAGAAACAGTACTTTAAAACAGTTGCTTATGCAGATGATTTAAAAATAGGAATAGGATGCCCCTCAGATTGGGACACAGTACTATGATTTACTTATTTGCACCGGTGATACAAACCAAAAAAGGAAAAAAACAAAAAATATCCTTTTTTATTGGCACAAATAACACATCAGAGTCACGATGTTAGATTAGTAATAAAGGTAATATATACTAAAATTTTGCAAGGAATTTTTTTTATTAAAACATTAAAGGTGATTTCTTAGTCAGAATTTTGAGCTACCAGCTATTTTTTAAAAAGCTTTCGTTTTAATATTACACCAACTGTTACACCTGATCTTGTGATCTACATAAGAAAATTTTCTTATTTGGTTTGTATCACTGGCGCAAATAAGTGTATGCCACAGTACTAAACCTATTTCATGTATATGAGAAAGCATCTAATGCTAAATTTAATGAAAACAAGACAAAATTAGCACCATTAACCACTATAGCCAAAAGGGTCGAACTTAGAAATGAGTCTCAGTTTCTGAAAGTAGGAAAACAGGAAACAATTACTATCCTAGGCTATGAAATATACCTAGACAGTACCCCGAGAAAGGAACTATGGCCGGCTACAATCACTAAAATTAAAAAACTTATAGACAAATTTGCTCAAAGGAATTTATCTTTCAGAGGAAAAATCCTAATAGCAAACTCACTTTTGGTATGCAGCCTATCTGCTCCCACCTAAAAAGAAACAAATAGCAGAAATCAACAGACTGATCACAATTTGGATTAAAAATAACTCAAGAATGCTATTCAGATACTCAATTTTTCAACTTCCTTACGAACAAGGGGGGCTTCAAGCCCCAATTATTAGCAATATGCTAGAAGCAAGACTGCTTACAGTCTGGTCAAAACTCCTATCAAGCGACTGTGGATGGTCAAGAATAGAACGAAACAGAATCTCAAATATACTAAAGGAGAAGAGAAACATTTCCACCTTAAAGGCTCTAACCCTCTACCCGGTCAAAACAAAAGCATGGCCCACAGAATGGAAACCATATCTGATGGCTTGGAAAAAAATTGAAGGAAAAATAAACACAAATCTAGAGTGACCTTGGGACCTAGAGAATCTTATTCTAGAAGATAAACAAAAGATAGATTTCTCAGTAAAAAGCCTATTAAAGATCTTAAGAGGGACAATCCCTATCTCAACTATAATACCGGATCAAGGGCTAAAATGGATATCTGCAAAATTAGTCAATAACAAGAAAAAGGATATATTTTGGCGCATGTATCACAAAGCACTTCCTCTAGGATACCGTTTGAGGCATATATCTTCAACAGAGACTGGGGATTGTCCCTGGTGCTCAGAAGAGCTACAAACAATACAACACTTCATGGCAGAATACAGAATAAGCAAAGAAATCTGGAAAGAAGAGTTCCGGTTCCATCAACTCTTGAAGAAATCTTTATGGCAAAAACTTCACAAATCCTAAATATTATAAAACGGCAATCTGGCTTCACTCAAATACAATATATGAGATCTGGTGTTACTATACATCACACAAATAGGGTAATACAACCTTTCCTGAAGCAGTATTACCGAGATTAATTAGAAATCGTATCTTAAAAGAGATACAAATACTGATAGCAAATATAAATAATAATTCAGTAGCAAAAAACATATGTAAATACCTACACTGTAAATAAGCTGTAAAATAGTATAAATAAATAAAGAGCGCCACACGTGCCTGAAGATGGTAACATCTACAGATATTGAAAAAAAAGTCTTAAAATTCTACAAATAACAATTAGGTTTATTATAAACCTCTTTGTGAATAGGCAGTCAAAAATTATTACAGAGCTAGGTACAACACAATGCTTTGAAATAAATGATGGAATTAAGCAAGGAGAGGTGATCTCGCCCTTGTTTGAAGAATTTTTTATAACCTATTGCTTGTGAGAGTTAAGATTAGGGTATACCATAACTCAACAAATTCCTTTTAACTACAGCCTTAACCAGACAATACATAAACAATGAAAACAAGCAGTTATTCTTATGCAGACGACACAACGTGGATTGCAAAAGCAAAAACCAAATGGAGGAAATAATTCAAATTGCTGAAGAGTTTTTCAAGTTCAATAATATACAGATCAATGAAACTAATTGTCATCAATTCTGGGGGAAAGAAGAGATGATAGAAAATCCTTTTTGTATAACAAACTCTTTCCAGTTCACCTCCGGAAAATATACACAAATCAAGATTTTATTACAAAACTCCTTTTTTATCTTTTTTTCTTCTAACGAAACAAGGACCTTGAGGTTCAGAAAGCACAAACATATCACTTTAAATATGGGCAAACAACCAAACAACAAAAAGCTAGACTTCTTCCTAAAAACGATAAAGTTTTCAACTTTACCAAAAGTGACGAAAACAAAGAAAACAACAAAAGAAGCAACGAGGCAAATGTAGACAACAACAACAACAATATTCTTGGGCCAGATACAACAGCTTTGGACAATACAGATAATAATAAACCTAGTACAAGTTGGGCCAGTTAGGCAGAAGCAGAGGAAACAAGCAGAATACAAAAGAGTGATAATGAAAATGCTCTTGATCAACAAGAAACACATACTGTTTTTCTAAACAAAACAAATCACGTTATAGATGTAAACAATAAACAAAAGGACATACACGTGGCTCTAAACAACCAATCAAAGGCTACTACCACCTCTACTCCTGAAAGATCGACTTCACCTAACGCAACAACTGAAACAGAAGCAACTCCAACTAACAACAACAAGCCTAAACAATGGTCAGACCTCTTTGCCAAACTCAAAGGAGGTAAAGCAGTATAAACAAACTCCACTCCTAGGCAAAGAATCCACTCCAAGAACGAAAACGCATTAGTAATTGACATACAAAGCCTCAACAATATTGCAACTAACGACATCATTGCTGCCTTAGCCATCAACCTCAAGGACGATCTTATAGCAGCCAAAACTCACATGTCAAAAGGAAAACGAACCTCTTTAGAGATAATTCTTAAAGACAAAGAGAGAGTTTAGCTCTATGCAGCAAAGTGTATCTCACTCTTCAAACAAACGTTCTTCGGATATATTCCAGTCAATCTCAACCGTTCTTTCCTCACTATAAAGCTCAAAAATACACCAATGGGAGACTCAAACCACATCAGTATGTGCATTTTAGATGCTTTTCGAGATGTTGGACAGATTACATCTATCAAACCCCTTCTTTATGAAGGCACCAATGTCTGTTCAGACCAATGGTTAGTTTCTTTTGAAACTACAAATGACCCAGATCTAACATCAAGAATTCCAAGAAGCACCCACATCGGTAATCATAAGGTGATTACAGAATGGAAAGAAGCTCCAAAAATATGCTTTTATTGTGAAAAAGAAGGACATATTAAAAAAGATTGCAAAGACCTGAAAGATTCAATCGAAACCAGGCGTATTTTGAGAGAAGCAAAAGCAAAATTGGACAAAGAAAAAATACAAAAAGCTCTTGTACCAGAAACCAGCTTTAGTCCCGACAACCCATATAACAATAATATGGTCGAAGATACACAGGATGTAACAGAAACAACTATATCTTCAAAACAAAACACAACCACAACCAAAAAAGTGCTGAGCAACATGGATCTTGACTTAACCACTTCAAGTTCTTTATTAAATACAACAACCTGCGTAGTGGAATCTGTATTACCAAAAACTGCAGAAAACTCTGTATGAAGTTCCTATGATTTTGAGGATATACCTTTTACTGTGGTAACATCTAAGAAACAAAAAGGAAAGTTCACAAAGAGAAAAGACCAATCTTTAGCATACCAACCATATGGAACTCCTGGAAGCTCCCATCAGAACTCTCCGGGATCTAGAACTCAACACTAAGAACAAACCTTCTTGGTGTAGCCTTAACTACTTATTATATTTTATGATTAAAATCGCTACACTGAATGTTAAGGGTCTAAACAACAGACCTAAAGCTTTAAAAACACTCACATTACTGAAATCTTACAACTTAGATATAATTATGATTCAAGAAACCAACTTAAGAGAACTAGCTTCTAGAAAATTCTTGGCCCAGACTTGGGGTTTTGACTTTTTATAGCCTTCTAAAACCGCAATTCTAGCAGGGAAAAAAGATATTAAACTTACGAACAAGAAAGAATTACAAGATGGAAGAATTACTATAGCTATAGCAGCAATCCAACAGCAAATATTTTCGCTTACAAATGTATATGCTCCTCCAAAATCAGAAGACAGAATCACCTTTTTTAAAAAATGGTTACCAGAAACCTCCCTTAATAAGATCTGTATAATTGCAGGAGACTTTAATGTTAATTTGTGTCCTGAGAAAAACAGAATAAGCCAAGCACCAATACAACATAACTGCTCCAGAGCTCTGTTAGATAATCTAATGGATGACTACACTGACACAGCTCTAACCTCAATTTCTTACTTTCTATCAAACCACACAAAGCAATCAGAGAATGGCAACACGCTTGGTCTATATCTTTATAGAAGCAAGTCACAGTCATCTTTGCACAAACACATATACTCGTTTTGGCAATTCTGATCACTTACTGATAGAGTGCGAGCTTAATCTAAAGTCTAAACATTCTTCCAAATCAATTTGGAGATTCGATAAAAAATACTGGAGCATACCAGAATTTAAAATTGATATTCTGGAGGAGCTACAAAATATACAAGACACTACAAATTGGGACTTACACAAATGCACTATACAATCAATAGCAAAAGCTACCAAACTCAATTCTTCTACAGAGACGAATATCCAAAAGCTACACAAAAGAATTCACAGATTGAACAACAAAATTGCAAAGAATCCCAA